GCAGCTGCCTCGTCCCAAGGAGCGGGATGGGAGTGGGGGGATCACACATAGGCCCTGGTACCTCACCCCCAGGAGTTTGGAGGAAAGACCAAGGCTCAGAGCACACAGCAGCATCAAAACAAAGTGGGGAGCATCACCAGGGAGCGGAGGGAAGGAGGAGGAAGCAGAGGAGGGCTCTGCCTTCAGTGAGAACAAGAGAGCACCGCAGCAGGGGTGCTGCTGCCACCAAGCCTTTGCCCAGCGGACGCTCCAGCCACGTGGCTGGACCGTGTGGGGTCAGACTCGTGGCGAAGCCGGGCCCCTCGAGGTTCAGGGTGGGCGCGCGGCCGGGGCCCGGGGCCGTGCTCGGTAGAGCAGCAGCGGGGAGGGCATTTTATCCCTCGCACGTCAGGTCAGGCGCCACCAACTGCTCTTTGGGTGCTGATGGGGACCGGGGACTGAGCTGCAGAGCAGGTGTCAAATGTTTCAGCCTCCCCCAAAATTAGTTTTACAAGCTCTTCAATTGTCTGTCACAGGAAGATGCCACAAAGAGATTTGAGTTCTCTGAAAAGTAGGGGAAAGGCACTGAGATCAAACACCCTGACAAATACAGCCTGTGACATCAATTGCTAGATTAGTTTTTTTAAACCTTATGTTTCACATCTGGTTTGTCATGCTGTTGTAGGTGGGCTCAGTGCACAGTAAACTAGGATAACAAACCTCCATTTTCCATGATCCTTTCATCCCCTAGGATCCCAAAGCACATCATTTAATTGCACTCAACCTGCACACAGATTTCATAAATAAAGGAATGATGAATTAGCATAGCTGCTGCAGCATTCACATGAGTTACTAAGACACAATCTCCTTGTGCAATCAATCCAGCCTCATGCTTCAGTGTTTGTCATAAATTGAGGTCAGGAAGAAATGTTCTCCCTACCTGGAGCAGCGCTGCTGAACTAGCCAAGTACAGAAAGACTCTCAAGGGTGTAGTAATCTGTCTTCCCTGTGCAAATCTCAAATATTGTTGCAAATATTCACTTGATGAAGCTCCCATGCAGTAGATGGACACTGATCCTGTACAGGAGCAGGAGGAATGTGGTGCAGAGTGGCCAGGAGAGATTACCTGCCTCACGAGGCAGGAGGAAAGCCTGGATGATCCCTTTGACCTTAAAATTGGTATCTCACTCCTCCCTTTGTCCATCAAGGGAACCAGGGGAGAGAGGTGAGAACCCTTGCCATGCCCACAGAACAAGTGGCCTGTGCCCAAGAAGCCACTCTTTTGCCCATTCTAGCCCCCGTGGATCACTCCCACCATCAGACTCATTCTGGGCCTCATATGCAGAGGGATTCACATGCTGCTTTTGGAAAATACTTGTCCAAGGAACCTCCTCATGGCCAAAGGGCCACTGGATTCCCCTGGACTTCCCAACTGTGTTTTAGCTCCAAATTTCCTGCTTATCTCCCACCAAATGCCTCAGGGACACCACCCAGAGCTAAGTCCTTCTCTGGAGCTTGATACTGACCCTGCCCTTTCCAGAGAGCATGCAGATTCAGGCATCCTTGCTATGTGCTTCCTAATCACATCTCAGCTGAAAAATCCCTTTTCTACTTCCTGCAAGGAGTGAGGACTGTTCCTTGCACTTTGGCTGGTAAAAAGTTACCTCTAATCAGTCTGCAGCAAAAACACAGGCCACAGCAGAAAGGAGAGGTGGGGGGCAGCCACCATGAGAAATGGAACCCAGTTATTTGAAGTCACTGATAAAGTGGGATCACAGAGGCTAGAAATGTTTTACCAGCTGTAAAAAGCCTGCCCAGACCAAGGCTTTTCTTGGAGAAAGGCCCTTTCTGCCCATGAGCCATTCCTGGCTGTGCACATCCAGGGGCCGTTTCCCATTTTTCTTCTTGGTGTGGGTGGGGAATTTGGGACAGTGCTGGGCAGTGACAGGAGGTGAGGGGCAGCTCTGTTGAATGGCATCTGTGCACTGCCAGTGCCATGTTTGTGGGGCAGGCAGTGCTGGCTGCCATAGGTCCTCTTCACCTCCCAGCAAGCCTGTGCTGCCTGTGCAGCCTCAGTGCTCATCGCAGCTCTTTGCTGCTGCAGGGAGACCTGTGCGGCTCATAGTGGCAGCAGGAGAGCTGGGAGGTGGTGAGGGAGAGAAGGAAACAGCCTCTTATGTGAAAAATACTGAAGGGGCAGATTGCTTGTAAATCACTCCCAGGCCTGCCCAGCCCTTGCCTCGTGTCTGGCTGATTGTATTATGCTCTGGAGAAAGTTTAATATAAAAAGCCAATAATCCCCATGATAAGAGGAGTGATAAGGGACAGTGTGGCCTCAGATCCCACCAGCACTGACCTGGATGTGGCAGGGGGCCTTCCTCCCCACCCCCACCAGCCCTGGCTTCCTCAGCTCAGCCAGGCAGCATGGACCTGGCAGGGTTGCTTGTGGGCAGGAACTGCAGGCCAGAGCCAAACTGCAGGGCTGGACAAAGCAGAAGCCAGCCCCACTCCTGGCAAAGAGGGGCTGGGGAAGCAGGGAGGGAGGAAGGGAGAAGTCTTTGAGCCCCAGTAATGTGTCATGGGGCTAGCTGTGGCTAATAGCCCACAAGCTGCCAAGCACTGTGCCTTATAAAATACCTCAGATGTATGAATATGGGGTGGCAGTGGGGGGGGGTGTCAAGCTGCAAACCCAGGCAGCAATGCTAAGGGCAGGCATGGCATCTTTCTCTCCAGAAGGCTGATGCCAAGCAGATATATCCTGCAGGAGAGGTGGAGGTGGTTCCTCCAGCTCCTCTGTCCTGGTCACCCCATCCTGGAGACTCCTTTGACAGCCTCCCACATCAAGTTGCTGTGCAATATCAGGCTCTCAACCCATAGGTGCATGTCGGCAGCCACTTCCCCTCTGTGGCCCCTTTGGCTTCCTGGAACCCCACCTGCAGGCTCAGCCCACCTCTGACCCAGCCCTAGTTGTAGCGAGAGTCCGTCATCACCTTATTCCTGGCCAAGATGTTGGGGGAGTGGGGGACTTTCCAACATTGCTGTCAAACAGTTTTGCAGCAGAGAAATGTTGATTCACTTGGAGAGCTCCTACGTACATGCTCAGAACTCCCTTCCTGCACTGAAAAAAACCTCATTTCCCAGCCAGGTCTGAGGTGGTCTGTGGGAACCCAATCTGTTCAGCAGGCTGTGTTTAAGGTCAGCTCCTCTGTGACCAAACTGTATTGACTCCCACTGACACACACCAGCTACTGCCTGGGCAAGGCTAGAATTCCCCCTTCTTCAGATGCAGATGCATTCCTGGCTGGAAACAGGCCCATTAAAAAGTCATTTACCAGGCACAAGCGAGTTTGTGTTCCCCTGGATTGGGATTTGCCAAGATTATACCATAAATCAGTGTGTTTCCTGGAAGAATGTAAGGAGGGAAAAAAAAAACCAAAAACAAACAAACAAACAAACAAACAAAAAACCCCACCCCAAACCAAAACATGATAAAATGGAACATTTTGTAGCCAATAGAAAAGCCAATAAAGGAGCATTTCATTTCCCGCTTGGAATGGAGCAACTGCAAGCTGCTGCAAGGGGAGGGATGGCAATGCAGGGCAGTGTGAGCAGGGTGCCCATGCCTGCTCCAGGATGGGGGAAGAGGACAACAGTGACCTGGTCTGGTCTCCTGCACACACTGACTACAACCTGCATCTCTCTGCCCTTGAACAGAGTCTGAGCTGCGGTGGCTCAGTTTCTCTATATGTAAAATGGGGGACCAGGATGCCAACCCACTGGGGGAAGACTGTCTGCCCTGTTTTCCAACCTTTATTCTGTAGGGACACAAAGCCTGCCTGCACTATTAATAATCCTTGGCATGAAGCTGTCACAGTTTCCACTAATATGGAGATGCTGGAGTGAAAAAGCTACTGCACAATATGCAGGAGGTGTCACAATAACTCAGCTGCTATATTGTTCTCTTTAAAAATAAATACCACAACAGGCCAGCCCACATTGCTGGAGTCATGACGTGTAGAGTTTTATTTTTAATCATAAAATTTACTGATTTTTAAAGACAGACACAGAGCAGCATCTGAAAGTGTTGAAAGTTCTCTGTGCACTCTCGCATACCAGCTGTGTTCCTGCCTGTTATTCTCCGGATTGCTTCCAAGGACCTGATCCAGCCTCAGCACAGGCACATTTGTGTGTGTGGCTTTTCAAGTGGCCCCATGGCAACCAAGTCCTTCCAGAAATAAAAGCAGTGGCTGAATTCCCCACCTCACTGCTCTCTGTGGGGAGACAGTTGATCCCCTAGGACACGAATTGCAAGGTCCACTCCTCAGGCAGCAGGTTTATGACCAATACTCTGGAGATAGGAGGGTTGTCTGGGGCCAGTTACAGGTGAATTAGCCTTCCTTTGCCTTCCTTCATGCTCAGCAAAAGCAAAACGAAACCCTGGGTAAAAAAAAAACCTGTTCTGCTTGGGGAAGGACGTCAAATGAGCTGCGAGGAGCTTCACTGCCCGGCCAGGGCCGGTCTAGAGTCCTCGACCTGCTGTCGTGCCAGCCGGGCCCCGGGCCTCCCCCGCAAGCTTCGCTACCCTGCCCGGGCCAACGCCGCGGCCTCCACCGGGCTGGGGTTCGGGTCCTGCCTCGGCCGCGGCGGCGAGGAGCGGTCCGGAGAACGGGCCGCGGCACCGAGAGGGTGCGATGGGCCGGGCAGTCCCGACCGGAGCGCGGGGAGGAGACGCCGACAGGGAAAAGCCCGTCCCGACCGCAGCGGGCAGGGCACGGACCGACCCCGGCTCGGTGTCCGCGGCCGCCGACGCCGGGCGGCGGGGGCGGGGACCGGCGGGGGCGGAGGCGGCAGTGGGCCCGCCCGGCCCGGGGAGGCGGTGGCGGCGGTGGCAGGTGGTGCTGAGCAGCCGCAGGACGGAGTCGGAGCCGCAGCCGCCATTAGACAATAGGCGCCGGCGGCGGGAGCGGCGCGGGGCGAGCGGCGCGGCCGGGACGGGGCGGCCGCGGGGCCGGGGCGGCCGGACCCGGCGCGGACAAAGGCGGAGGCGCGGGGACCCGGGGCGGGAGCGGAAACGGGCGGCGGCACCACCATCATCGGGCCGCTCCGTGCGGGGACCGAGCCGCAGCCTGACATGATGTTTCCACAAAGCCGGCACTCGGTACGGCGCGGCCGGGGCCGGAGCGGCCGCGGGGCGGGGCCGGGCACCGGCGGGGCCGCGGGACGGCGTGGGGGCCGCCCGGCCTCCGTTGGCGGCCCCGGCGGGGTCGAGGTGATCGAGCGCCTCCCGCCTCCGGCAGCCGAGGCTGTTACCGAGGGGCGGCGGAGCCGGAGCCAGCGCCCGGGGAACGGGCTCCTCGGGTGACCTTGGGCGCGTCCACAGCCCGAGCGCTGGGCCCCGCCGGGGGATCGGCCCCCGGTGCGGCGGGAGCGGGGCGGACTCGGGGCGGGGGGGCCGGGCGGATGCCGGCCCCAGCCCCAGCGCTGTCTCCTGTTGTTCAAGGGCTCCTCTCACCTGCCGCAGCAGCTGAAGTTCACGACCTCTGACTCCTGCGACCGCATCAAAGACGAGTTCCAGCTGCTGCAGGCCCAGTACCACAGGTACGTGCTCCCAGCGGGCCCGAGGCTGTCTCGCAGCTCTGCTGGGCTGGCCGGCGACGCGCAGGAATCGCTGCGATTCTTCTCCTCCTTGCTTCACTGCGTGGACCGAATGAGGACACGGGGCAGGGGACCCGGTCACGTAGCTTGGGACACCTTTGGCTGGAGGAGAACCTCGGGCAGGGGGTTAGTCATGTCTGCATGGGAGCCCAGTGAGGAGAACGCACGTTCCCCTCTCCAGCCAAGGTCTTTCCTCGGAGCGCAGCTCAGCTAGGACTGCAGGGATGGTTGCCATCTCCCGCCTCTTGCTGGGAGTTTTCCTCAGTTCTTATTGCTGGCTGCCATTCTGGGACTGCAAATGCTGCAGGGAGCACTTAAATCCAAAAGCTTATGCTTTTCTCTGTGTGTGTGTGTTTGTGTAAATATTTCTGCTGACCCAAAAGCTGGCTTGAGGCGATCTGTTGCTTTGTGTGTGTGTGTCTGAAATAAACGTGATGCCCTCGTGTTAAATTGACAGGGTGATTCCCTCTGCTACAGCCCGGTGTGTGCATCACTGCCATGTGGTTGCAATGTCCCCCAGCCTGGGCTCTGCCTGCAGCCAAGTCACAAGTTTGTGGTGGTGTCATCCTGGCAGGAGCAGGCAGAAAAACTGCTGGGAAGTGGCCATTTCCTGGTGTCCCTCTGTCTTGGCAGTGCCATCGAGGGAGTAGGGCAGCCCAAGGAACGTGCCTGCTGAAAGACGAGCTTTCCCTTTACCCCACTCTACCCCCTTGGACTTAATCTGCTTGAGAAGGAGCAGGTTTTGAGTAGGTGAAGCTGTTTCTTGTTTGAAACATAAAACCACAGCACACGCCGGCTGCAATTGCTCTGCGGGTGAGTTGGAGTCTCATAAAGCATGGGGAGCAGCGGCACATTCTCTGAAGAATTTAGGGGAAGAGGCAAAATCCTTCTGGAGGAATGTGCTGCAGTTGGGCCTTCCCCCCCCCCCCATCCGGAAGTGGGGCTGGCTTTGGTTTTGATATTATTTTGGAGCATCCCTTGAGTGCTGCAGACAGGCCTGTGCCAGAAGCCATCCCCACCTGCCAGTGATCCATTGAGGAATGGCAAACACCTCCCTGGGCAGCCAGCTCTGCTTCTGCCCAGCATTCTCCTTCCTGTGGAACAAATTTGCCTGAGGGCGGTCAGTGTTCAGCTGGCGGATAACCCTGTGTCCTTCTCCTGAGCGTGTGTTGGTGGGACTCCAGCTGGGAAGGTGGAAGCAGGCTCTTTGCAGTCACTGCTCTGCCGGCATAGGGTGGCCCAGCTCTGGCCGCCGTTTGAAGTCCAGATAGTGATGTCCAAGGAGCCAGCCTGGCCAGGCTGAGGCTGTGCAGGAAGCAGCTGTTCTGTGGCATTCAATTCTCTCACCTCCCGTTTGTGGTTTTCTTACTGTTTTTTGGCTTTTCAGCTTGAAGTTGGAATGTGACAAACTAGCCAGTGAGAAATCGGAGATGCAACGTCACTACGTCATGGTAAGGACCAGACCTGGATGCCAAGAGCATGTGGGTGGCGACTCCAGCGCGAGTAGGTGCTAGTGCCTGGGCTCTGCCTGGCAGGGAGCCTGTGCCCCGCAGAGCCCCAGGGCTCTCAGCAGGGCTGGCACTGGCTTTTCTGAAAATAGAACTGTTCTTTATTTTGTGGTGGCTGCATGCGGTGGGTTGTCAAAATGTGGAGAAGTAGCAGAGAATTTTTTGATGTAGAAAACTGAGCCCAGTGGCTGACTACTTGATGGGTCCTTGGCCTCGCTCCCTGTGCCCAGGGAAAGTGACAGCTCTTACAGATTTGAGAATGAGTTGTAAGGTGCTGGTGTGCAGGCATCTGGGTACTCTGGGAGGGTGACAGCCAGTGAGAGACAAAGCAGTGCTCCAAGAAAGCTGGGAAGCTCCACAGTCCTGGTGGGAAGTTGGAAGTGGAAACCAGCTTCTGTGCAAGAGTGAAATCCTGTGCACCTTCTGACAACCCCACAGCCTTGCAGAGCCATAGTGCTGAGTGCTGGCGTGTCTTTCCAGCACGTGTGTCCCAGCACAGAATGTGCAAATCCTGGGGCAGTGCCTGGTAAAGGCATGAGACGTGGTGCCACGTGTGGGCAGCAGGCTTAGCTGTGGCTTTCCAAAGAGAAATCTGCCAGGAAACAGCCATGTCCTAGTAGTCAGGGTGATGGTTTTCCTGCCAAGTAATACTTCTGGAATGGCCCTTGTAGCAGAAAGGAGGGATGCCAGGCAGGACTGTGGTCTCTTCCGTTCCTTTCGTAGAGTTAACAGGAGGCTGTGATATTGTCCATGAAGATGAACTGGTGCCTGCTTGCCAGGTGCTGCACCTGCCCTGGAAAGAAGAGATAAGATGTAGAAATTAATATAGCAGCTCTTCAGAGTAGAGTTAGGATTTTAAACTAGAAATAAGGGAGCTGGCCCCTCCATCCTCCTGTACTACCTGCACGCCCAGACTCTGAGGGTGTGGGGAGCAAGGCGTGCTTGGGGCTAGGGACAAGGAGAAGAGGTCACAGCTTTCCTTGCATATTAAATGGGAAAGCCTGCCCCTTTCTTGCTGGTAAACAATTGCTTCTCGGGCTTTGCAGTCTGCATGAAGACCCTCATCTCTAGATGTGGCTGAGATACATTTTGTCCCCTTCATACTAACAGTCACCACAATTGATTCAGGTTCCTGTCAGCAGCAGAGGAGAAGATCTGTCACTCATGATGCAGTGCTCAAGGCTTTGCAGGCGCAGGAGCTCCTGCCTCATCTGCGCTGAGCTGGAGTCGCGCAGAGCTGCTGCCACTCCCCACCACAGCAAGTCACAGGAAGCAAAGAGGAGGGTTTTTGTGAATGTGCAAAGCTGCTACAGCTGCTCTGATTTTTGAATAAGTCACAATTGGCAGCTTGGGGGTCGGGCTTCTCCTTCCTGCTTAGTTTTCAGAATGCAAAGAAGCCTTGAGAGCCCGCAGCAGCATTAGAGCAGGCTGAGATCATGCCGATACCAAGCTGAGCGCTTCTCAGACTTGTGGCGTCGGTACCAGAATGCCAGTGATACCCTTGAATTAAATGAGCACAGATGGGGATTTTTCTTTCCATTTGGAAGAATTGGGATTACAGTCTGTAAGCTGCAGGAGGAAGTTTCTAAACTATCGAACATCAGCTGTATAACCGCTTCTTCCAGGGGTCAGGAATTAGCTTCTCCTGCCAACAGATTGTCTGTAGCTGCCTGTTACTGCTGTGCAGGGGTTTTCTAGGTGAATTGTTTTTGTGTGGAGGGGGGGGTTTCCACATAACTTCTTTGCAAACAGCTGAAACTGTGCTAGCTGGATGTGTTACTTGCTACTTGAAGTCCAGTTGTGATCTCTTCCATTTGCTGCTGAAGCAGCCATGCAGGCTTTAGGTTACCAGCCAGGCAAAGCTTGCAGAGTTAGGCTCCCTCTCTTTTGGCTGTGGATATAGAAGTCCGTGGAGCCACAAGCCTTTTTCCAGGTTTGATGTAGCATCGCACGCTCTCACCTTGATGCAGACTGTGGAAAGTTGTCTGTGAGGGGCCCAGCTGGCAAGTCTCCAGGCCTCGGTCTGCAGCAGCATGAGGCTCGAGCAGGGTGGGCACGGACCACCTGGGCTCAGGGCTCTGCCTTAGACCTGGAGGGGGTCTCTGTGCTTGTCTCCTGCTGTCTTTGTTTCCCAGGGCTGGTCCTTGCTCTCCTTCCATCCTTGCCCAGCCTTTGTAGAAGACCCTGCCAGGAATGCAGTGGTAGCTCCCAGCACTGCTGTATGGAGCCATTTTACCTGGTGGAGACTGGACTTACAATTTGTTCTGTTCTCTTCTCTCCTGTTCTACAGTACTATGAGATGTCCTATGGGCTGAATATTGAAATGCACAAACAGGTAGGACAGAAAGCATTTCCAAGTGCTCTAATTCCTGGGGAAGGTGGTTGTCTGCTGTGTGTTATTCCCTGTCACTTCAGTGGTATTTCAGGAACTAGAAATGCCATGAGTCTGTAAAATGTCAGAGCTACCTTTAAAATGCAGGGCCCCCCTCCCATGTCTTGGGATCACAGTGCTGAACTGAGAGCTCCCACTCCGGGCTCTGGGCACCCTGTAGTTCTGCTTAGGGCCTGAACGGGTATTTAAGCAACAGAGAGGGCAGTGCAGGCAGGGTCTGGAGCTGTGGCTTGGAGACTGCGGCAGCTTGGATAAGTTTGCTCATTACCCTCTCTGATGGTTAAGTTGTTAATTACCCCCAGTGACTAATTACCTGTGGTATTAACAACATGAGCCTCCTCTGAGCCTGTCTCTGTCTGGCTCCAGCTCCAGTCACAAAGTTGGCTGCATGTCATGACTCAGTTATAAGCCTCTTAGCACAGCTCTGCTCCCCACAAAGGCACTTGGTGCTTCTGATCCCATTGCCCTTGTTGCTAAGCCCAGGAGACTGGCTTTCCTGGGAAAACCTGCATCTTGTTGAAGAATCTGAGCCATAGATCCTCACCGCTGTCCTGTGAATGTCTCCCAGCCCAGTCTGCTTCTCTGTAGTGCTGGTGCGTGCCTAAACTCTTTGGCTCTGTATTTCTTTTGATGCCACTGGAAAGTGATTTGCAAAGGACTGGTAGCTTCGCTATTTGCCAGGACGAAAGCATTTAACACCCCAGAACTTGCCATTGCTTGTGTGTGGGTAGTGAGGAAGCTGCCCAGCCCCTCTGGTCTCCCTGAGTAGCCCCAGTCCAGCAGCTCAGCTGCAGGGAGGGAGAACCTGAGGAGGGGTCTCAGTGGAGGCAGCTCGTGTGTCTGTCTGTGTCTACATGGCAAATGTAATTCAACACATCCCCACCTGGGTCTATAGTAAGTTTCCTATCTAGTTGCTGCCAGTTTGTTAAATGAAAGTTGGAGACCTGGAAAGAGAATATTGAATATTTGCTCTTTGCAGACAGCAGCATCAATTCATTTAACTGTGCAGGGAGGTTCCTCAGGGGTGAGGTGACCCCCATGGCACCAGAACGCTGCCGGCATCTTTCTGAGGAGAGGGTGTTTTCTTAGGGCCATTTGGTGACTCAGGGCTGGGCTGGGAAGGAGGAGGGTTGGGCAGCTGGTGCTGCGGGTGCGCAGTCCTGAGCTATCTGACCTTTTCTCTCTGTTCTTCCCACCTTTTAGGCTGAAATCGTCAAGAGGCTAAATGGGATTTGTGCACAGGTTCTGCCCTACCTTTCACAAGAGGTGAGTCCCCCAGCTTGGGGCTGTGTTGGCAGGGGGGAGTTGAGGCCCCTGTTGTGCTGCAGCCAATGAGGTGTCACAGCCCTCTGGCACAGGCAGCTCCCCACACCTTGTCTAGGAAACCTCATTGCTTGCTGTCTGTCCCTGCACAGGGACCAGCCCTTCAAGGCAGTTTTGGCTCCTCAAGTGCTGTGTGGTGGGTAATGTGCCTGTCTGTCCCTTTTGTGATGGCTGTGGACAACGATGGGCTCTGGTCTCTCCTGCCTGTGGTTCCTGAGTCATCAGCCACTTCCGCGTGGGCAGTGGGAGCTTTGGGTGCTAACTGGGGTATGATGCTTAAAAAATACCTCCATGTGGCTCCTTGAGATCTGGTTCCTCTGTCTCATTAATTAATGCAGCTGATGGGCTCCTCCCACTCCCCTTAGAAATTAATTGGGGGGGGGGGCACATGTGGAGTTGTTGCCTTAGGTGAGGTAAAGACAAAACACCTCCAGTGCTGTATTTTTCGTCTCCCCAGGGAGGCTGAGCTTTGGGCAGTTCTCCTGGCAGTGTGGTCAGGACTAGTGGGGGATGGAGGCTTCTTGCTTGGGGTCAGTGATGGACTTGGGGCACAGGCTCTGTTTTTTCCCACCCACCTGTTCTTGGGAAGGACAAAGCGGCTTGCTGATCAGATCAGAGCTGCCTAATAACTAAGCCACAACTAAACCTTTTGCATTTTAATGCAATCCCTACCTTGTCCTGCTGCCAAAATGGAAAGAAAATCCCCTTGCTGGAGTGCAGTGAACAGGCCTGGTGCTGAGACCTTGTGCTCTACAAGGAGAAAGTACAGTTGTCCTTTATTTTTTTTAAGTACGTGATACAGCCATTTTTCCTGCCTGTGTTTGGAGCACCCAGCTGCTGCAGTTGGGATATGGGACGTGCCCCAAGGACTAGGAAGCTTCCCAAGCGCTTCTGATTTTATGGCTTGTTTTGTTTGTTAGAGGGTCTGCGTAGGTGAAGGGCAGCAGGATGAGAGACATTGCCCACCTTGGAGCCCTTCTGGCCAAGGATTGCTGGGCCTCTACAGAGCAGGACGAGGGTGGGAGCAAAAGGGGACCTGCTTAACCCTGTGGTGAGGAAATGGATGAGACAAACTTGCTTCCTTCCCTGCTCCTTGCTGCCATGGGTCTCAGTGTGAGGCCCTTGTCATGGGTGAAGTGTGTGCAGGTGTCTCCAGCTGTGGGGTAACCAGCCTGTATCTGACGTGACACCTCACTGTCAGCAGCATGTATGTGTGTGTGAGACCCAGTAGGATTTGGTCCCTGTTCTGCTTCCCAGTGGCACTGGAAATGACCCTGAATTCCTTTGTTTTCTCCATACCAGCATCAGCAGCAAGTCCTGGGAGCCATTGAACGAGCTAAGCAGGTTACGGCACCAGAACTGAACTCCATCATCCGTGTACGTGATGCATGTTTAGTTTGGGTTCAGAGGGATGGGAGTTGGTACCTTTGACCTTTGAGATGGAGCTGGGCCATGGAGTGGTGACCTGGGGATGTGGCCGGCCTGCTGGGAGCAGGCTGTGGATGGTGCTGCAACTGTAGGAGGACAAGGCTGCAGGTGCTGGGTTGGCTGCGCTGGAACAGGGCTGGTTCCGTCCAGGCTTGCTGTGACCGAGGCCATGGGTTTGCAGGGGAGCAGGGATCCCTGCTCTGTCTCAGCAGGGTGCAAGGAGAGAAACTTTGGTTGAGCAGGAACCAAAGCAGCTCCTTGGCATGAAAACACCATCTGCTCTTGGTCAAGGTTGTAAGGGCTTTAACCACATCCTTGGAACAAGCTAGAGTCTGATGCCAGATGTCTTGTGGCGTAGGGACTGTGTGTTGTGCTGGGGACACACTGTTGAAACTTCTCTTGAGGGTGTCACAGCCCCAGAACTCTAGAATCTCTTTTTCCACCTGCCCTGAGGCTGCAGTGCTCTCCAGGACCCTGAGATCTCTGGTTTAAGCTTGATTTCTGGCACAGTGTGTTTGGGCATTCCAGGTCCCTGGGTTGGGGTCCAAGTGCACTCAAAATGACAATATCCCTGTTCTCTCTGTCTGTCCATCATTCTCTACAGCAGCAGCTTCAAGCTCACCAGCTGTCACAGCTCCAAGCCCTCGCTCTGCCTCTGACTCCGCTCCCTGTGGGCCTCCAGCCCCCATCCCTCCCTGCTGTCAGTGCCGGCACTGGGCTCCTCTCACTCTCGGCCCTGGGCTCTCAGGCTCACCTCTCCAAGGAGGACAAGAATGGCCATGACGGGGATGCCCACCAAGATGACGATGGGGAGAAATCTGATTAGGGGGGCTGGGGGGAGGGGGCTGTCTGGGGAAAGGGAGTGGGTTAATGCAAGATGCAGCATCTCTCTCTAGTTGCTGTGCAGCAGAATTGCGGAGACTTGTGTTTGGTGGCAGCTTGCCAGGCCTGTTCCCATGGGCAGCAGGGCCTGGGGGATGCCCCCACCGCCATCCCCATGGGCAGGCTGCTGCACAGCAATGCAAGCGCCATAGCAGTAACCATGTGGCCCAATCATGCTCTCCCTGTGCCCAGCCTGGCTTCCCTGTCCCTGCTCCCACCCTGTCATAGAGCCAAGCCAGAGCCTGGCTTGGGCTGCTCTGGGGCCATTTGCCCCCCTGGCTGTCCCAGCTCCTCCGTGCCATGTGGCTCCCCTCTGCCCCGCTGCTCCCCCCTCGGTATTTAAAGATTGCCCTTGATCCTAAAAGTTCTGCACAACTCCCTGCTGGGATCCCTGGCCCAGAACAATCTCCTCCTCCCCCAGGCGCTCTTGGTCTCGTCGCATCGCCCTGGCCCTGTCTCCCCCACACCCTTCCTGCACTAATACCAGGCCAGCGCCTTGCTGTTCTGCATGTACCTGTTCTTAACCATCTCCAGCTGCCGGGGTTTGGCCCTGGGCTGAAGGGGGGCTTTGTACCACCTGCTCCCCCTCAGCACAGCACCCAGCTTTGGAGCCCAGGCAGCTGGGCAGAGGGGCAGGCAGACCAAGAGCCTTCCCTGGCCTCCCCCTCCCTGTGCCCATGCCCCGTGTAGAGGATACAGCAGCTTTCTCTGTTCTTATCTGTGCGCTAGCGTGTCTTCTTAAAAAACAAAAATGGGAAAAAAAATAATCTGGTGTTTGTATATAGTCCTTTAGAAAGATCTTGTTTTGCTTTTTGTGTTTAATCACTTGACCTATAATAAGAGGAACTGAAAATGCTGTATCAAGGACGTACAAGCTGTGCCTTTCAAATAAAGAAATAAGAAGGTTGGTTAAAACTGTGACTTGCTGCCACTTTCTTGCTGCCTTTGGTACGACTTTACTTCTCCTGTTCCTCCAGATGGGGAAATCAGCTGGGGAGAACAGTTAGTTTTTGCTGGTTTACCTTGGATTCTGCTTTGGTCTCCATGTGTGTTGTGGGAGATTTCTGAGAGAGGAGCAGCCCTCCCTCTTCCAGATGGTAGCGTATCCCAGATTATTCCCTGCCTCACTTGTTGGATGCACTGCTCTCCATCTCTGGAAATTTCTCTATCAGCCAGGAGGAGCAGGGTTAACATTGACACCCCTAGCTCTGGCTTCTCTCCCACTCTTGTCTTTTAAGGGGCTGGTGGAATGGGACCGTCTTTGTAGCCTGCGTCCTGCCCTGGGACACCATCCCTCCCCGAGGCACCCCTGCGGAGCTGTGCCATAGCTGGAGTCTGCTGGAGCCAGGGCAAGGAGGATGCCCAGGGAAAGAACGGGAGCGCAGGGTGAAAGCAGGGGGTGGTGAAAGGGATTGGGGGCTCTCCAGAAGAAAAGCAGGGAGGTCCAAGCAAAACCCCCTGGAAGTTTAACAGCTCTGTAGTTGGAGCAGAAGCAGCATGGTTTGGTAACACATGTGATGGTCCCTGTAGGTTGCCACCTCTTTGTGTGCATAATTCATTTTTCCTGTGGGCACAGAGAATAAGCTGCTTCTGTGGCACTTGGCCCCTCTGGAAAATCCAGCCTGCAGTGCCCTGGGGCAGAGATCACTGTAATGGAATTGGCTCTTAATAATTAGAGCTGTCCTCTGGCTCTAGAGCCTGCTCCACCCTGATAACATCTTCCTCTCGGTATCTCTCAGGCCAGCTGGAGTGGGAAAATTTCTTTCCCCTGGGAAGGAAGCTTCGGGGTCTTTGTGCAGCCAGCTGAGGTATAGAGGGGCTGGTGGGTTACAGACCTTGTGGGTAGCACTAGGGCTTGACAACGTGCCTGTTATCTGGCTGCGATGCCTGATCAGCCTAATCCAAGCCAGGGATGGCTGGGGCAGGGTGCCCAGCACAGGCTTGCAAGGGACAAGGATCTGTGAAGGAGCACAGCTCTGGAAGTGGTCACTGAACTCTAGCTACCGGCTCAGGCTCTTGCAGGGGGAGTCTCAGCCGTGTGCCCTGCCAAACCGGGCACCCAGTCCCTCTGGTGCTGCCCTGGGGCAGATCCAGAGCTCAGATCCCCTCTCTGGGGAGAACAGAGCTGGTGCTGCATGGCAGGCGCTGGTCTGACCTCACTGCACTTGGGGAGCTGCAGCACCGGGCAGACAACTCCAACCTGCCCTGCTTGGGAGCTGCTGGAACACTGCTGATCAGTATGGTCTGACCCTGTGCTCCTGCAGCTGCTCTGAGGGCTCCACAGACACCGAGCAAGCAGGCTTCTGATGTGAAAGGCCAACACAGCTTCAGGCTTTGGGCGGGGCTGCTGCAATGGACAGTTGCTAAAACCATCTCTGCTCTGTCAGTGCTGCAAAATCCGCCAGGAGCTGTGGCTGCAGGAGGCAGCTGGAGCTTTTCCAGAGCTTTCACCTCGAGGTTAGTGGTTCAAATTCAGCCTGGGGGAAGGGAACACCATAAGTGGATGTTACTCCTGATAGATGTGCAAGGGAAGAGGATTTAGGAGAAATTGGTCTGGGCCATTTTCAGGAACAGACATCCCTCTTGTTAGAGCTCATTAGGGGCCTAGGTTCAGTTGGCAAGGGGGTTGGACAAACCACGAGGTTGCTGAGGCTGGGGAGCTGCTCCGTACTGGGCTGTACGTATCTCCTTGCTCCCTGTGGGATACTAACCCTTTATAAACACAAAACTCTCCAAATCCCTTGCACCTCTCAGCAGATGTTGATCTGAACCTTGTGCTCCGTTCCTGCTTCCCCTGATGCTCCATTCCCCGAAGTGTTTCGCTGGGTGGTGGTGGGCACCCTGATATCCCATCCCACTGATGAGCAGTGCTGTGGTTCCCCATGCTTCCAGCCTGGCTCTGTTAGCCACTGCTTCATTTGCCCCTGGATCTCCAAAGGGAGTCATTTAGTAGGGCACCTTACCAGATTTGGGCTCCAATCTAATTGCATACCAAAATTTGCAAATCTAACAAATACCAACAGCAAAAAAAGGGTTAAAAACATCTCCCTCATGACTCTCCCAGTAGCTGCAGACTTGAGGAAACAGCTTCTCTCCTTCCAAACAGGCTGCTCTGCCTTGTAACCTCTCTGGAGCCAGAAGCCCCTCTCCTGCCCTGCACAACAGCTCAGTGCTTGCGGAGGCGCAGCTGACATGGGGCATCCGAAGCAGCTCAGGGATGGTTTGATTCTCACTCTTGGCAGAGAAACCCTTTCTCCTTGTGTTTGAGAGGTCACGATGCACAAGTGAGAAAGGGATACAGGCTGACAGTCTGAGAACCAGCTCTGCTGGCACCAGCATCCTTGGAAAAACTCAGCAAAGCCCTGGCTTATTAAAGGGGGATAGAGAGTGACAGTGACAGCCACTGGTCCCACTGCCCACAGAGCTTTGCTGTGGTGGACAGAGAACTGGCGAGGGCAGGGGCAGGATCCCATCCAGCAATGCTCAATGCCCTGAGACCACCAAACAGCTGCACAGCATTTAGCCCAGGCTTGACATCAGTTCCTGCTCACAGCTGCCAGGGGCTTGGCAAAACTCTGCTGTTACCCTTCTCCTCCCTTCCCCCTGCCTGTCACTGGAGGGGTCATAAACTGGCATCCTTCCTTCTACATGCAATGAGCAGATGCCAGTTTTTCACTGGGTGAAGGAAGCTTCCACATCTGTTTGGGTCCATCTCCTTCAGGTCCTTCCCATAGGACAGAATCCCCCAGCCCCCTGTTGCCTGTGGCCATAGTGGGAATCAGAATCTCCTCTGCCACATCGCACTCCTGCTCTAACCTTTCTCATTTTTCAGCACAGCTTTGCTTGAAACAGTGGCACAGCCTGCAAGCCAGGAATGGTGATGGAGCAAGGCCTCCTTCCCAATTCATCACTAATGCAGGAACCTCAAGCCCTTTCTGGCTGCAGTGAGCACCAGATAAAAGCTAAAGGAGGCATCAATAATTAAGAACCACTCAGAGCTGGTAAGTGCAAGCAGGAGCCAACATACAGATCGAAGCCAGTGCCAGAGACCAGAGTCTGTCAGCTGCTGGGTTGCTCTGAGGGCTCTCACTTCTCTTTTGCAGGCATCCCCCAGTCCACAGCCCCGAGGTGACAAGATGTCCCTGGCACCGGGGGGGGGGGGGGGGGGCCCAAGGGACTGCAGGGAAGAGCGATGCACAGGAGCATGGCAGGAGGGACCTGGGCTCCTGCCTGTCCCCAGGGGCTCTGGGGACATGTGGCTTTGGAGAGTGAATGCCAGCACTGGGGGCTCGAGGATGGGCACCTGCAGTCTGGTCCTGGGAGCATGGGTCAGGGCACTGAAGAACCTTGATTTCTAGTACAGCTTTGGCTTAGCTCTCACCGCCTTGATGCCAGGTCCTTTCTCAGTTTTCCTTCTCATCTCATTCTCGTTCTAGGACAGAATCCAGCCAGGATGAGGCTCCTCTTTGTGCCAGATGCTGGTATACACAGTCTGAGGGTGCCATGAACTCGTCCCTGCTGAGTTCAAGGCTCCTCATTCAAGTATGCAAGTGAGAAGCTGAAAACGATTTGGAAATGATGGGTGGCTGCAGGGAGCCCCGGCCACCCTCAGCATCTCTGAGAAACACAATGGGCTCTCACCTTGACCATCCACTCTACAAATGTGCTGGGAGCAGGAGGCTGTGCCTGGGGGAGAGGAATGACTCAACCCACAGCACAGAGCTGGGGCTGCCCTTCCTGTCAAGGACAGGAGGCCGTGTATTCCCCTGCCCCAGGCTGGTGTTTGGGGAGGGAGCTGAAAGGTAAAATCATTGGGGTAATTCCAATTACCCCAGCAGCAACCTCTTTTGCTTGGATCCAGATTCAAATGGAGCTTCTGGGTGTCCAAAGCCTTCGTCCTTTGGGGCTGTTTCAGGCATTGCCACTACCAGGCACGAGCGTGTGGCTGCTGCGGGAGGGGACCAGGCCCAGCTCAACGTCCTCAGCAGTGGTGGGTCTAGGCCACGTTTGCTGCCCCGCATCTTGTCCCTGTGCCAGGGGGACCAGCAGGACCAGTTCCCCTCGCTGCTGCTCCTGGAGGCCTGGGGATGCCGAGGGTTAACTGCTGTTGATTTCTCCCCAGTCCAAGCACACACTGAAACGAAATAATCTCTGGGTTACAGGCGGTGCTGCTTCAGGGCCCATGTCAATCACTAATGGAGGGTGAGCAAAAAGTGTGTGACATCCATCAGTCCAGAGCTGCCTGTTCCAGGTTTACCTGTGTCACTTTCAGAGAGACAGGAGAGCAGAGAAACTGCCTAGGGAAAACTGGCAATTTTTGGTGAGGAGTTTTGAAAAATGCTGCGAAGTGTCTTCTCAGTCTCCCCTTCCCTCGAAACACAATCTGAAATGTTTCCAGCTTTTGAAAAACACTTTCCTTAAATAAAAACCCTACAACTCTCCCAATAAGGCAACAGACAAAAAAACCCTCCAAAACTTTACATTTGAATTAAAATATGTATATTCATATGTGCAGATATATGATGCACACACAGAGACATATATGTGCCTGCACAAAAAGGAGAGGTTTATGAGGCTTTGGAGCTAGTGGCTAGCTGGTGTCCATCCCTGCCTGTATCACTGAACCTACCTAGTGAACACCTGTGGCCAGGGAAGGTAAACGGGCAAGTGCTGGGGCTGACAGAGTCTGGGGCCAACCTGGCAGGGGAAACGGGATGGCGTGGGGGCAAGAGGAGAGAGAGCCTCCTGTGCCCACCACCTTGCCCCCGCCCTTGCTGCCAGCATGCAGCAAGTAAATAACAAAATGAATAAGAGATTAAGATGAAGTTCGAGGCATTAAATATTTAGCCTTGTGCCTGCCTGTGCAGTGCCCAGGTACAGCTGGGTCCTGCAATATTTAAGGGTTCTTCACTCGCCTTTAC